CAATTATTTTTGGTACAGTGACTCTGTGTATTCCTTCCATCTTCTTTTGATGTTTCCTGCCTCATTCAATATTTTGCCCATAGAATGTTTAATACTTCAATTTGAGTCTTAATTTTTTTTCTTCTGTTCTTTCAGCTTGAAAAATGTTGAACATGTTCTTCCCTTTGTGTTTTCTGACTCTAGGTCTTTGCACATTTCATTACAATAATTGTCTTTGGCCTCTCGAGCTTCTCTTTGAAATATTCTGCTCAGCTCATTTATCTTATCATTTCTTTCATTTGCTTTAGCTACTCTCTGTTCAAGGGCAAATTTCAGGGTTTCTTCTGACATTCATTTTAGTCTTTTCTTCCTTTCCTGTCTTTTTAATGACCTCTTGCTTTCTTCATGGATGATGTTCTTGATGTCATCCCACAGTTCCTCTGTTTTTTTGTCACTGGTGTTCAATGCATTATATCTATTCTTTAGATGGTCTCTAAATTCAGGAGGAATACTATCAAGGTCACATTTTTACTTTCTTGGACTTGTTTTAATTGTCTTCAACTTCAACTTCAACTTGCAAATGAGAAGTTGATGGTCTGTTCCACAATTCCTTCTGGCCTTATTTTGCCTGGAGATATTGACTTCTCCATCACCTCTTGCCACAGGTATAGTCAAATCTCATTCCTGTGTCCTCCATCTGGTAAAGTCCATGTATATGGCTGCTATTGTGTTGTTGAAAAAAGGTATTTGCAATGAATAAGTCATTGGTCTTGCAAGATTTTACCATGTGATATCCAACATCATTTCTGTCACCAAAGCATATTTTCCAACTACTAGTGATTCTTCTTTGTTTCCACCTTTTTGCATTCCAATCACCAGTGATAATCAACACATCTTGATTGCACATATGGTCAATTTCAGACTGCAGAAGTTGGTAAAAATCTTCAATTTCCTCATCTTCATCTTTGGTGGTTGCTGTGTAAATTTGAATAATAGTAGTATTAACTGGTCTTCCTTGTAGGTGTATGGGTATTATCCTGTCACTGAAAGCATTGTATTTCAGGATATATCTAGAAACATTCTTTGTGCTGATGAATGTCATGCCATTCCTCTCCAATTTGTCATTCCTGGCATAGTAGATCACATGGTTCTCTGATTCAAAATGGCTGAAACCAGTCCATTTCAGGTCACTAATGCCTATCTCTCTTCATGCATTACATTTCATTTTTGACATCTAATTTTCCTAGAATCATACTTTATACATTCCCTGTTCCAATTTAGTAATGGATATTTGCAGCTGTGTCTTCTCATTTGGGGTCATGCCACATCAGCAATTGGAGGTCCCAAAAGCTTTACTCCATCCATGTCATTAAGGTAAACTCTACTCTGAAGAGGCAGCTCTTCCTCAGTTGTATTTTGAGTGCCTTCTGATCTGAGGGGCCCATCTTCTGGGACTCTATAGGACAATGTTTCAGGGCTATTCATAAAGTTTTCCAGTAACCTATCAGACAGTGTTTCACTGTAATTCATTAGGTTTTCATCGGCCAATTCTTTGAGAAGTGGATGGCCTTTTCCTTCTTCCAAGTCTGTCCTAGTGTGTGGAAGCTCCGGTGAAAGCTGAACACCATGGGTAGTAACCCTGCTGGCATTTGTAATGCTGGTTTCATAGCCTCCAGCCTCACACTAACATGTAAGCCACCACAGGATGAAAAATGACAGACAAGTTTGTCTACCTTAGCTGTTCCAAACCACTCTGCTCACTTCCTGGACTCCCTTAAAGCTGCTCCAGACCTCACACCCTGCTTGCCTTCTGGGCTACCCTTCAATTTGCTTCAAAACCCTCACAACTGGATCGCCTTCTAGGTGGCCCTTAAAGCTGCTCCAAAACCCCCATGCCCAGCTCACCTTCAAGGTCACCCTTAAAGCTGCTCTGAAACCCCCATGACTAGCTCAAAGGAAACCTAGCAAACCATATAAACAGTCAAGGCATGTAAACAGCAATTAAGATTTGAAATTTTAATATCAATAAAAGAGCTAAAGACAATGAATAATTCAAATTTAACAATGAAATTGAAAATAATAAAATAACTATTAGTTACAAAATAAGCAATCAAACAAATATTTAGGACAAGTAAAAGAGCTAAAGACAATGAATAATTCAAATTTAACAATGAAATTGAAAATAATAAAATAACTATTAGTTACAAAATAAACAATCAAACAAATATTTAGGACAAGAAAGAAGTTAATTCAGTCCGAGGGAAAATAGAAACACTGGATGATTTTTCACTAAAGCAATTAAGAAGAAAAATAGCATAATTATCTTTTAAAGCATGAACTGAATAGATTAGATGGTGGCATGTGACTGGTTAGACATGATCATAGGTAAATATGTAATGAGGAATTATAGTAGCAGATGCAAAACACTCACTGTAGAGTGTTAGAAGTGAGGAAAAATAGAGTGCTTCGAAGAAAACTGCTTGATTTTTTTTTTTTTTCTGACTAAATAGTGACCCACGAACATCTGGAAAATACAGGAGCTTTATGTTTCACAGACACACAGAGACAAAAAAATAATACTGCATTTAAACAAAAATGACAGGATTTATAATCTAGTCAAAATCTCAGAAATGAAACAGTGTTAATTTTCTTAACTAGAACACTTCTATATATTTTTTAATACATTTTTCTAAAACTTCCATATTTTTAAGTCTCTAAAAGAATTAATTATCATGTGATAATTTTCCGAACAGCCTAAGCAGCTGCAAGGAAAACATTTTTATTACTAAATTAATAATTTCAGAGTAGACCAGAAGGGACCATTCTCCCTCTGGACATGGAAGCATATTGTTCTTTAGATTAGCTGAGCCAGGGTCTGCTAATTGTAATGAGATATCCATACTTAAATGACTGCACTTGGACTTTGATATTTCAGTTGATAAAATATTTGTTTATATTGATTTTATATGGTTCATATGATTTCAATATTAGTCCTGTGTCCTGAGATGGAATATTTCTACAGAAAAATTTATCAACACAGTCATGTTATTCATCTTTTTACTTTCATTAGTATATTTTATACAAATTACTAATCTGCTTAAAGGATTAAAGAAAAAATGAAATAATATTGAAACTGTCTAAGAATAACAATTAGAAGGCTTTTAAATGACTGATTTTCATTAGTGATTTAAAAAACCTTTAATTTCATAATACAGCATTGTAATAAATAGCAACTGTAAATCTTAATGAAGATTTATGTCTTAAAAATTGTTTCCATGAGTTGGAAATGGAAAGTTCTTTAATATTTAAACACTGGCTGTTTCCATAATAACAATAAAAACATTAATAATATTACTAATAATAATAATAGCAAAAATAGTAGATATTTATCTTTTGTTAGTTGTTAGATGTAATTGAGTTGGTTCTGACTACAGTATGAGCAACAAAACAATGCCCTGTCCCATGCCATCTTCACAATTGTTACCAGACATTTTATTTCTTTATTATTTATTAACTCTTGGGTATGAAATGTAAGAAGTATGAGTCTGTTGTAACTTTGTTATTATACTCTAGAATAGAGATAGTGTAAGAAAAAAAAATGAACACACACCAAAAATTTCACATATTTAAAGCATATAATTCAATGGCTTTCAGTAACTCAATAAAACTGTTAAAAATAAATAAATTTATATAAGTAATTTCAAATATAAAATAGGCTTAAATTATTTTATGAATAATTACTGAGTGATAACTGAAAAAAAAAAATCCACTGCCATTAAGTCAATTCATAACCTCATTGGGTTTCCAAGACTGTAAATCTTTTCAGAAGTAGATTGCATCTTTTTCAGCTGGGGGTTCTGAACCTAAAACCTTCTGCTTATTTACCAAATGCTTTACCCCCTCCACCACTAGAGCTCCTAAGTGATAATTACTGTTTAAAACTATTATGGAAAAGTATTGAAAATCAAATTGACAAGCAATGGATATGGTGATTCATGCATCTAAATATTTCCCTTACTATAGAAGTTCCTGGGAGTTCTCAAAGTCAATAGTTATTATAACAACACTGAATAGTCTTTCCACAAATTATACCAGAGCTCTTGTAGCATAGTTGCTAAGGCACTTGACTGCTAACCAGAAGACTGTGGTTCAAACCCACCAGCCACTCCTCAGAAGGAAGAGGGGCAATCTACTTCCGTAGTGATACTGCCTCAGGAACCCAAGGAAGGGTCGCTGTCAGTTGGGTCCTACACGACAGCACATAACAACAACAACAACAAATTATACAGAAAAAGCCACACCTACATAATCATCTGTAATAGGGAGGTTGAGTGAAAAATACAGAGGAAAACAAAGAAAGGCAAACTTTGACAGGGGACATAAAAAGAGAGACATGATGGGGCAATTAAGACAAAATAGTATTGACAACTTTTAAAAATCCCAATAATCAGTATCTGTATCTTCATTTCCTGTAAAATGTAATTCTAACCATAAAGCAATGATAAAGTCTATCATATGAGGTTTTTTATACTTTGAGTTTATAGAGCACTTTATGGCACAAACGAACAAATCTGTCCTGAAGGAACTGAGGCCAGAATGCTCCTTGGAAATGAGAATGGTCAGACTTTTTGTCTCACCTACTTTGGTCATGTTGTCAGAAAGGACCAGTCCCTGGGGAAGGATATCATGCTTGGTGAGGTAGAAGGTCAGGGAAAAGAGGAGGATCCTCTACAAGATGCATTGACTTCTCTGAGTAGCTGAAACGATGGGCTCAAGCATAGTAAAGTATTTGAGGATGGCACAGCCTAGGCAGTGTTTCATTCTGATGTTGCTATGAATCCAAGCTGACTAGACCACATCAACAATAACAACATATGGCACATAGTAACCAACAATGAAAAATGTGTCAAGTATACAAAACTAATTTTAATTAAAAAATTGTTCAATGCCATGTTAGTAATTGTTATAACCTCTGATATTACAGTATATGTCTCTATTATTAGAACATTAAATATTCTTACCATTGTGTAGCTATGGGCCACCTTCATAAGTTCAATGCATCCTTGAGCATCTGCAAATGCTCGTATTCCTAAACAGTTAGACGGATGCAAAAGTTTCATGAGAAAGTGGCAGCACACTTCTACTACTTGAGGAAGCTGAAGAAGGCATGCTGCAGCAAGAAGATTTTCAATGGTGTCTTCCTTTAGTTCCAAGCAACCTAAACAGAAGTAAAGACAGTTATGGAACTCTCTGTTTAAAGTATCAAATAACACGTATCATTGTATTAATGAAATCATTAGATCCATCTGCTAAAAACTGTTGAGCCTACATTCATAATTAACATAAAGAGCTCTGGTGGCACACTGTCTGAGGCATTTGACTACTAACCAGAAGGTTGGCAGTTCAAAACCATCAGCCACTCTGCAGAAGGAAACTAGGCAATCTATTTCCATAAAGATTTACACCCTAGGAAACTCAATGTAGGTCGCTATGAGTCAGAATCAACTCTATGGCAGTGGGTTTGGTGACATAGTGGATAAGGCATTTGGCTGCTAACCAGAAAGTTGGCAGTTCATACCTACCAGTTGCTCTGCAGGAGAAGATGAGGCAAACTACATCAGTAAAGATTACAGCCTTTATAACACAGTGGGGGTCACAGTGAGTAAGAAATCAACTGGATAGTAGTGTCAAGCAATTTTTTTTTTTTAAATTTTCTTCTTAATGCAATAATGTTTAAATATATCCACTACACATAAAAGCAGTTACAATTGGAATATCAGTATGCATTTCAGACAGAAGCTCTGGTGACAAAATAGTTAATCACTGCACTTAGGTTTGAACCCACCATCCACTCAGTGTTAAAGATGAGGCAGTTGGCTTCCTTAAAGATTGTTGTTGTTGTTGTTATGTGCCATCGAGTCAGACCCGACTCATAGCAACCCCTCCTTGGGTTGCCGAGGTAGTATCACTACGGAAGTAGATTGCCCAACCTTGCTTCCGGGTAGTGGCTGGTGGGTTTGAACTGCCAGCCTTCTGGTTAGCAGTCAAGTGCCTTAGGCACTATGCTACCAGAGCTTTAGAAACTCTATGGGGCAGTTATACTCTATCCTATAGGGTCACTGTGAATCAACTGAATGGCACACATGAACAACACCTCTTTCAGCCAAAGTAATTGTTATTCCTTTG